TTAACAGTTTATACACTGAAGAAAAATATCTATGAACTCTACTGTCATTAGCTCTCTTTCTCAAATCCCAATGCATATATGTAGACCTCGAAGGTACTTAATGTTTCAAGTGATATATATCATTAGAGTACGAGTCTCCCTACGTCAACCATCACGAGTGTACATATATTGCACTCTTTAGCCATAATATTCCCTCTTTATTCACTATCAAGTAGAACTCGTCTCTAAGAGCTGATCACTACCTCCAATAAGGTTAAGACTCTCATACCGGTGAATTTTGCTTGTTTGAGACAAAGAAAATTGCAATATGGCACAAGCTATTGCCTTAGTAGGCGTCTTACCATCAACCTGCCATCCTTTTTACTAGACATCACAAGGCTCAACACACAATAATACAAAAATTATAATTCACATTTTTAACCTTGCTATTTAATCGGATTTATCTCGATGTCTATAGAAACCTCCTCCACAAATGTGCATGCTTCTATCAGCCATAAAAATATTCTCATAGGTCAATAGTGAACATGATTAACAAGAATGTTAAGAAACAGTTTCAATGTTTAGTTCATCTAGTCCATGATAATTACTAACCAAAACAGGTCTATGTATATGTTTCTAAAATATAGACACGTTTATCTTCTAGTCATGATGTACCAACCACAAGTCTAGCTTAGGATAGAAGGTAATACCTTATAACTGAGGGAACAAATCATCTAACTTATAAAATATGCTTGCCTGTCATGGCACTTTAAGTCTTCTATCTATTATCGATAATTATATGCTTAGATCCACTATTCTTCTCAAAGTACATAACTTAAGAGCAGCAAAGTGATATACTTGGTCTGATGACTTCTTAATTATAAAGTCTTATAACTTGCTCTTTTAGTTCCTTCAACTCTATAGAGCTTTTCTATAATACCAAAAATACATATATAAATTAAGCTTCTTGTGCTATATCCATACCCAAGTCTATCTCCACATCATGTGGTAAACTCGTAGGTTCTCTGAAAACACATTTGGAACCTAATTAACTGTTAAGACTATCCTAATAGTTAGGTATTCAACTCTGCTTCCCCGAGGTGTAGTTAGATGCAACACATAACCTTCATCTCTCAACTCATTCATAATTTTTTTTAGAAGGATAATAGTTAATCATCATTTATAACTTCATATGCAACTCTTTTAGGATGATTAACATGACTTGTCAATTACTCAATTACTTTACCTTATAGAAAGGTACAAATACCTTTATTCTCCTCCGACTTGTTTCTACCTTTGGGGTTATAACATTGCTGAATTTTCATCCCAGCATTTAGCCTTTAAAATCCATCACAATTCCAATTTATTACCTTTAAACCATGCTTACTCTTCATTCATGTTCTGTTAGTGTTGGCTCACTCTTTTTATTGCTAGTTACTTCTTTTTGTTTCCTCTTCTTGAGAGCTATTCCCGTAGTTGTCATTGTATTATTTTATAATTACCTTTTTTTTATTCCATACAATCTCGTATATGTTGCCAAATTGAGCATGGGAATTGCACATATATGAGTATGAACTCCCTGAAACAAGGGAAAAAATTCTTATGAAACTAACTCAAAGATCCTTATTCTTTCTTAAATATGGTATCATCTCATCAACAAACAATTTTTGTCAAAGTCCATGCGGTACAAAGTACAACGCTTATCAAGACAATTATTTAAACCGAACAATCTGTTTAGTAATATTCGTGCTACTTCATTTCAGTACTCAAACTCGTTGTGTACTCATCTCCCTTTAACACGGTTAGTGACAATCTTAGTACTCCATGTCTTACCCCTTTATAACATCTATTACGTCGTGGAAACTCATGGACCCTGGGTCCCTAATATCCCGCACATCTATTCCACAATGCATAATAAATCAAGCAGATAGTGCGAGGCCCTACAATCCCTTGCGTCTTACTCGAATTTTAATTGACGAAGTATTCCATGATTTACTGAGTCTCATACTCAATAACTTACTATCTTGGTGTATTAGATCTCATGCCTAACGTTTTCTTTCTCTCACTCAATAATCCATACTTAATCACAAACTCCTACTATATATATACCTGTTATAGCTCATGAAATCCTATTAACACGCTCATGCTCAACGCCACAATCACATTTATAACATCATTATTGCGTTATTCACTAATAATAGTAAATCGCTTCAAAGCGCTTTCCTCAAAGTATAACTAATCAAACATTGTAGCAAACATCTAAAATGTATTTCCTATGCAAGGTTCCAAAAAAGTTAACTTTAAAAATGTAACTCTCGAAAAGTTTTGTCTATTATTAAAGAGCAAGTTTATTGTTATAATTTATTTTTATTCTCGAGGTGTGACCAGTATAATCATGTCTGACATAATCCCTTTACTCTCACACTTAATTCTTGTCACCATTATACAATGAACTAATAAGAATATCTCTCTTAAATTAATACAAGAAATATAGCTATAGGGATTAGAATTGATACCTTGCCATTACTGTTGAGTTGCAAGAATATTTCGCTCTCCCTAGCTGTCAAGTTCTCGCCACCAAATAGTTAGGAAAATCCCTAATGCCGTTAGCCCTATATATTTTGTTGCCTCTACATAATAGCCAAAACAAGAATATTGTAATGCCCTAATGCCCTCTAGATCGTTGGCAGCAATTGAGATGGGTTGACCCAGTTAGTTACTTTTATTATCTAAGGCCCATGACTATTTAACTATCATATATAATGTAAATTGACTCACTAGAAAAAACTAGTATATTATTTTATATATCAGGGTAAATTCTCTTCCACTAACTTAGTATTTAATCCAATAACTACAAACTAAATAATTCTCTAATTTCACTACTAATGAACATGTAATAATATTTTTTTTTCGGGTTAATACAAGTTTCTGGGTGGTATTTATTTATGCGTTCGTTAAATCATGTACTTTTGCCATTATTTCCGCTGATTTAGTTTTGTTAAGTATAATTATAAAATGATAAAGGAAAAAGGTGCAATATTCTGTAACGTTGGCTTGCCTAGCGAGTGCAAATGTTAGGCGTCATCACGGTCCCGCAAGATGGGAAGGTCGGGTCGTGACAATTTATTATTTCTTAAGGGGCGTGAAAAGTGAAAACGTGTCAAGTAAAAGTGAACAGTGTACTTTTTTCTTTTTGGAAATTTCATTGATATAAAAGAGGTAAAAGTTTGTTGTACCAAAAATGAAAAGAGGTACAAATGTATAATATAAGCCATACGGAAAAAAATTAAACCAAATGTCCAAGAAAAAAAATAAAGCAAAAGACAACCAAATAAATAAATCATTGCCAATCTTTTTTGTAGTTTTACAGTGATAGTGATCTCGAAGTATAGTCCTCTGGAAGAGACCTTAACGCTCATTTAGGGTAAGAAGAGTCCTCTAACATTTGGTGAAAGAAAAAAAGTCCTCTAACATTCACTCTCCTATTAATGCTCAATGAAAGACTTAAATCAGACAAATAGAAAAATTTGAGATAAGAAAAAACATGAGACAAAAGATAAAATAGTCAAAATTAAGTATATATGACTATAATGCAGTAGATGACGATTAGTGATTATTAGAAAAAAGGAAAAGAAGACGATTCCATAGCAAAATGCAAGGTAGTGTAGAAACTTCAATTTTGCCAACTTAATATTCTCTTACTTGATATTCCAAAATCAATAAGTAAGCTCCAACTTCCTTTTTTCTTTTTTGGCCAAGAGCTCCAACTTCAATATACATCAAACTTACAAATACTTAAAATAAAAAATACAAAGTCAAAAGTTCAAGAAAAAAACCAATTAATGATAACAAATTCTGCACATTTCTTATTGTTCAAAGGCCAATTCTATTGTCTAGTGCAAAATGGCTTGTTATGGCATAAAACTCATTTCCTGTACCAACTCATTAATCAAAAGGAAATTGATTTAAAAAAATTCAGCTTATGATTATGCATATTTCACCCACTTTTCTCCTTTTGATGCTATCCAAACTCTTATATGCTCAAATAAATCACGAAATAAGCAGAAAAGAACCTTACCCAAAATGAAAATGATGGATCAATATTTCCTTTCTTTCCCCTCCCCATCCTTGTTTCATTTTGGTGAATTCATTAGTTGGGGAAAGGAAAATTCCAAAAAAAAAAAAAAAAAAAAGAAGAAGAAAGAAACCAATTTGAAGGGGAAATATGGCAGTGGAAATGATAGGAGAATTAGGGAATTTCCTTATAGATACGATAAGAAAAAAATAGTAGAAATTATTGCCAGCAACGGCCTGCATAGAGATTTGTTTAACACATTGAGAGAACTATTGCGTCGTTTGTCGGGAAATGCGATTGTAATTTTCGATCAGACACATTTTTGGACAGAAATGACAGTGAGAATTGCCGAAGAAGACAGAATCGGTTATATGAACATGTTTTTTGAAATATGTGAAGTTAAATGGAACGTTACGTTCGGAAAGAAAAAAGAAGGGAAAAATGAAACGTCACACTTTTAGTGGCTCGGCCAATTAGGTTAAAGGTGTTTCTGTTAAAGAGGTTTCTTTGATAAGAAAGTAATGGAAAAAATAGGAGAAAAACTCAAAAAATTGAAAAAAAAGATAAATAGGATTCCTTGTTTATAAAAGGTGTCACATCACTAACTATTGTACCTCAATTTTATATATATATATATATATATATATATATATATATATTGTTTACGGTGGAAATTTCGATGGAAAATGTAATTCGGAACTATACCGGGCCGGACCGAGCTGGAATTCCCCAAGGAACCAGTAATTCATTACCAACCTGCGGTGCACCAGTAACGGGAAAAGGACCGTACCTTCCCGACCAACCCCTGTAATCCCTCCGGACCGGGCTGCCCGGGATATATCGGGTCGAACCAGGCCATTAACGGGCCAGCTAGACCCGTTTAACACCTTTAGATCCAAGTAACTGGAAAATGCAAAGAAAGACATGCATACAGCTTAGCTGAAAATATGAAAAGCTTGTGGAGATGAGGGAATATTTCATTGGCAATCATAACCAAGAGTTGGACAAAAAAAGTATGTCACAATATACAGTGGAATTAGAAATCTAGTAACTAACATCCAATCCGCTCTCATCTGTGGAAAGAATTATACTAAATGAAGACTAAACTCTTCCTACTATTTATGCTCTCCTTCTTATCAACAGCCTCTAGCAAGCAATATGTATATTTGTTTTCGCGTCATATAAACAGCAGTGATAAGTTCTCCACCAAGCTCTGCACTACTAGTTTTCTTTGGTAGCTTGGGCCGCGTCCTTCCAAATGATCTCCTCTTAAAGCTGAGAGGACAGATATCATAGTTGAAGAATACCTTCTGACAATGAGATTAGTGATGACTATATGAGAGCACCCCATAGAGTAGCAGGCCTTTCGCCGCATTTTGCATGCACGTGCTTGATTCTTTCGACTGATTTGCAAATTCCACTGCAGCTCCAATCAAATGATGCCACACAAATATTACCTGCTTGTGCTTTCCATTCACATTCTGCGACAGCAGAGGAAAACAAAGCCTTAGGTACCGATTCTAAGATACGTATGTAAAGGAGATAAATGAGAGATTTAGAAACTGCTAACCAGGAGGAGTTCCACAGCACATGTTACGATCATCAATGTGCTCAACTTCTAGACCAATCAACCATGCCCCGAGTGACACATCTTCATTTGCATATTTATGCAGAATACGTCTGAAAATCACCACCGGAATTTACTATTAGATGGACAAGCATTGATATCCATTCATGATTAGCGGGATTAGACTAGAGAACTGAAAGTGTGAAACAAGAGCAATCCCCAATCTAAACAGATCTATTAAGCTGTTAGTGAACAAGAAATAATGTCCGTTTTCCCCTATTTCAAGTGACTGTGTCCTCGTTATCACCTGCATAAACTTTTCCAATCGCATAAGAATATCAAAACTAGAATCAGCATACAGCACATTGTACACAAGATCCTAGCTTTACATGTTCAAAAAGAATGCTATAGCATGAGAACAAAAAATCTTACTTGTTGTTGGCAATGTAGGTTGCCAGTTCTTTTGAGATGGCATATATCTGTCCGGTTGCATGTCGGAAGTACTTATTTCCCGTCTCTCCAAATTTCCAGAACTCAGGTTCATGGTACTTAACACTCCTATCAAAAAAAACATTGCAATGATTAGTTCTAGTAAACAAAAATCCTGAAATTTTAAACTTTCTAAAATTTTAGTGACATCGGTTGCTAGAATAGTTTCAAAAGCAGTTACTTTTTATATAGAACTGGCCCGGATTTCATGCATCCTATATACACCCTGGGTTTTAACCTGTGCCTGGCAAGAGTTGCAGCTAGTGTACCTACAATACCATGGCGATCAACTTTTAATTTCTAAATCACTGAAAATCATCAACTTTCAGTTGTCCTGAACGATAAGGTACATGAAGAGAGAAGGTACGTAGAAAGAGAGAGGAGATGTACCTAAATTGACGTGAACATCATCATCAACCTTTACATAGAACTCAGCATCCCATTTTGCAACTCCAGCCGAGAAGAAAGCTTTGGTCTTCGCAGATAACTCATGATAACCTTCTATATGATCCTGTAAGACATAATTATGACATGAAACTGCAAATACAAGACAATCAAATGGATGCAAGTTATTTGTACTCACAAGTCGAAGAATGTCCTTATGCTGATCGTCTTCACTATCAATGGCTCGATCTAAAATGCTATTTGATGTTGCACTGTAATAAGAAGTATAAGAACTTTTAGGCCAGAGTCTATGACATTTCAGAAAATTGTATTGGTATTAACTCGACACAGATAAAATGTAAAAGAGAGAAGGAAAAGAATAGAAACATTTTCCTCGTTTAAGTCTGCTGTAGACCTCAAACTATTAATTCCTGGCCGCCTGCTCATAGAGAAATAGTAATCAGGATAGAAGAAACACAACTGCTTGGGTATTTCAGTTCTTTTCCATCAGTTTTGATGGCTCTGCTTGTTCTTTTGGTTATGAACCTAAAGTGGTATTATAACTTGAACTTTGATTTATCGAACTTAGTACCAACTTCTTTTCTGGATTAAATTCAATAAATTGATCTGAATACAACAAAGTGTACAGAAACACTCTGGAAGGATATCAAAAATATTTGACTGATTATTACAGGTTACTAATATGCGCAACATACTGTGACTGAACCTCTCATGATTTATCTAAGATATAGTTTCCACAAGAGAACAAACCAATCTCCCACTTTCATATCCAAATGCACCACTTAGCCCAGAAAAAGCCTTTCACGTTCTAATTCGAAGTAAACTATCATGCTGCTGTTTAATATTTTAATAAAGAAGATGAAAGAAAACATAAAGAAACGAAAAAGAGGACAAAGAAAATCTGTATCAACCAAGTGGCAGCTGTACTTATTTTTTACCATGGTGGACACCAAGTAATTAAACCATACTCCTGGACTCGTGATATATCTGTCCAAGATTGAGAAGTAATAGCAGCCATCAAATATGAAATCCATACGGGATGTTATTATTTTTCCATTTTAACATTTTCAATAATCAACTCAGATTCGCGGAGCAATCTGTGTCCAACTAAATTGACTGCTGGAGTGGTGCAGTAAACAACTGAGAGGCAAGGAACACTGCTCATGGCAAGATATTACTCTTCTTGGTGTTCAAAAGAAAGAAGTAAATTGAGCATAGAGTTCAAAAGAAAGAAGTAAAGGGGTTGTTCAAACGAAGAAAATGTGAAAGTGTTCACTCACATGCAGTTCCCTATAACTTTGTTTAGTTCTTTTTAATCCAATTCTAGTGGAGAATTAACCCATAAGAAGCTTATACAAGATAACATTTCCTTATAAAATGTTCCCTATAAAACTAAAAAGGCCATACATTCTACAGATGGAACACTTGAAAAGCCAATCTTATCGGTTCAACTGTTAAGTGAAACAAGGATATTTAAAACAAAGAAAAGAAAATGGAAACACATTGTCAATTGTTTTGGCAAGAAAGAAAACATGAGACTCCAGCAGAAAATCTTTGATGAATAAGCATCTAGTATATGTTTAGCATACAGAAGACGTGGAGCAATGTAGATCATACCTGTGGCCGATCATGAAGCGCACAATGATCCCCTTTTCTTGCTCTAATCTAAGTAGTTTTTCACCTATTCAAACACACAGAACGTTGTCAAAGGAGGAGGAAAATGGAAACAGGAATTCAAAATACATCAATAACCTCATAGTTACCACCTTGAGGCATCCAGGTTTCTCTAATAGAATCACGCCTCCTTCTACTACTGAAGGCAGTGTTTATTCCGATAACCATAAATGCCTTCTTTCTCGTCCCATTTCTTTCAGAATCTGCGCTTGTAGAAGGAACTGCTTCAGTTCTCCTAATTGAAGGTAGCTCACTTTGAATCTTAGCAATTGAATTATCCAACGAGCTGACAATGTTTCAAATTAAAAAAAAAAAACAAAAAAAGATGATCAAGATCAGAACAATGTACAACATCGTAACTTTTGGAAAAAATATTTCCACTCTACTTTCCTTTTTAAAATTTTTTTTTCTGTATAAGTTTGTTTAACCAATGTCAAGATCACAACTTTTTTCTTAATAAGCATATTTCTTCAGTCTGTCGTGTAACATATTTAGTCCAAGTTCGATTGTTAAGTACAAAAGAAAGTCCTAAGGTAATCAGATGAAAACTCTAATACTTACTGGATAGCTACTTCGGCTTTGTTAAACTCTCCCACTATGTCCTCCTTCTGCAGATAAAACACCATTCATACTTATGCAGAAAAATAGCTATAATAATGATGGAAAGGGGGGGGGTGGACCTGACTATTTTTGGAATCACAATTGTCAGAAACAGAAGCCAAGTCTCTCTCTTGTTTATGGCGCCTTCCAAACATGATCCTTCCATCTGATTCTGGGGGAGTCCAAACTCTAATTATGCAATGATTACCACAAACAAAATAGTCAAGAAATAGAAATATGTATATATATACTAAATAAAAATCAAATCTTTTTCAACCAAAACAGAAGATCAAAATCCACAAAGGTCAAATATATATGCATCAGAGTAACCAAAATTTTCTCAGAAAATCTGAAGAAGAAAGAGACGACTTAACATAGTAAACTCAACCAAACAGCTAATTCTTGAATCCCATCAAAATTTCTGATTCCGGGGTTTCTGGAAAGAGGGGGGGGGGGGGGGGGGTCTTTTTTGCATGTAAAATAGATAAAAAGATCACCTAATTAAAATATACTCCAAACATTATTGAAGAGTTACCGATTAGAGAAAAGCATGCCAAGAGCAAAGCTGAAGATGCAAAGAATAGCAATCCATTTAGGTGAGACTTTGCCTCTGTTTCGGTTCTTCATAATTTTACTTTCTGAGGCAGGACGAGGAGAGCGCGGGGTTTTCTTGTGTCTTTATTCCATGAACGACAGAGAGGGGGTACAACAGGGGGGGGGGGGGGTTAACCTTTTCCTGTATGCTTATTGAAATTAACGATTTTCTTTATGAAAAGTCAAGGGTGTATTAATATGAGTTAATTGGTTGTTTCACAGATTTGTCAAAAATAAGAAATGAGGAAACAATACCAAATGGTGGAATCTTTTTGATTATTTAGTATTAGATAATGCCAGCATGCAAAGAAAAAAGAAGTAGGCCGCATGAAAATTTTAACTTTGGACAAAATGTAAGATAATAATAGCTCTAACAGTAGATTTCATCCAATTATTAAGCACACGTCTCTTTTATTTGGAAATTTTAAGTTTTCAAGTAAGATCCTTGTTGAATTTGAAATGTCTATTAACATATTAATTATATGCAATACAATATGCTTAGTAATTTTAAAATGATACAGAATTAATTGCAATAATTATGTAAGTTAATAGAGAAATTTAATTTGTGAATGTCACACTTAGTGCTTCTTTTCATTATAATTCTTTTTATTATCAGCATGTGGGGTTAAAACTTTCATTCGGCTATTGTATGGGTTAGATGATACGATTGTAATCAATGAAGTAGGTGAAAATCATAATGTTTCGGGTTCAAATTCCAGAAGAAGCAAAAGATATTAGGTGAATTTTTCTAATCTATCCGAGCTTTGGTGGATAGAGTTATATGGTACTTGTTGCTGGTGGGAGGTGATAGGTATCACGCAAAATTAATTGAGGTGTGCGCAAACCGGCTCGGATATAACGATATAAGAAAAATAATATGATTGTAAATTATAACAAATACGTTGATCAAGATTTGTTTTTATTTGACACAACCAAGAATTAGTATTCACATAAATTGACATGTAATCGCTACACCTAGATCTGAAATTCCGAACTATAAGACCATAAACAAACAAAGAATAAGAGGATTAGTCAAATTGTCTAAATTACTATGCTCGTTGGGGAAAAGCAATCTTGCTATGCTCATTTGAATTACTAGAACTGAAAGCTAATTTGTCGATATTAATAAGCAAATCAAGCACTTAATTTAGAGGAAAGTGAAAATAAGTAGGAACCTTAGGCGACGGCTATGAAAAGTTTGGTTCGTGTCTTGTCATAATTGGTTAGTTGTTAGATCCGCGTTTGGATAGCCGTAAACGACGGGTTAGTCATCCGTCTCGATGGGAACAAAAGAACGAAGTAAACGACGACTCAAGAAATTACTCCTATCTCTCTTCATACACTGGGGAAAATGCCGTGTCCCTTTGGTTTGGTTTGGCCAAGTCAATTCTCCATTTTAAGGTGTTTGGACGAATATTTGAATCCAAAGTTTCATAAAAACTTTGTACAAGTTGAGTTGCTTTCACTTAGACATCTTTTGTGAAAATTTGTGAGGAGAAACCAATATTTTACTTGAAATACACTAATATTTTAATAATTCACTTGCAGCTTTTAAGTAGTTAAGTTTAATATTTGCAAAATTTTATGGTCAAAATGCAATAATGAAGTTCCGTATTAGCAGATATTAAAATAACTATTATCGATGAACGTGCGTTGCACGTTAATAATGGCACATGATGATGTAAACATTTATTTATATGAAGCAACAATGAAATTTAATTAATGAGAGAAATTTTATATATAATAATAATACAACAATCATCTGAATGCCGCAAAATATTATTGCATTAGCATAATACATGAATTTAAGTAAAAATTGCACGGGGCACCCTATTTGGTCGTCCCATTTAACCTATACCCATTTTTTTTAAAACTTTTAACTTATACCCACTTTTTAAAAAACTTCAGCTCCCTTTCTTCTCCGCTTCAGTACCTCACCAGAAGAAAGCAAGGATCTAGATTGAGATCGATATGCATAAAAACAACATCACAAGCTGTGCAAAAGCTACCCTTTCACGTTCTTACTTTATTTTTTAGCTTTTCTTTTTTCCCTTCGAGAATTGGAATGACTGCTCTAGCTCTCTCCTCTGCTTTCTACCCACTAATCCACTCCCCCAGATGATACATGTATATATCCCTCTCTGACCTCTGTTTTTTTCTTGTGCCTTTCATGTTTTTAATTAATTTAAAAATATTTATACCTGCCTAGCTAATACAAGACGAGCAACTGTATGTAATATTAATAGGTGGTAAAAAAACTTCAGCTCTAGTATGTAATATTAATAGGTGGTAAAAAAACTTCAGCTCTAGAGCTGAAGTGCTGAAGTTTTTGTGTTGTAACTGGAAACTTCAGCTCTAGTATGTAATATTAATAGGTGGTAAAAAAACTTCAGCTCTAGAGCTGAAGTTTCCAATTACAACACAAAAACTTCAGCTCTAGAGCTGAACTTCAGGCCCGGCTACTAGAATGCTGAAGTTTTGCGTGATTGCCTTTGCTACTTCAGCCCCGTATGCTGAAGTTATGCGAAAAAGCGGGTACGCTTGTAATTTTTTTTGCAAAGCGGGCACAAGTTAAAATGTGACACAAAAAGCGGGTATAGATGCAAATGCCCCTGAATTTAAAATAAAAGGACATCATCAAAACTTACACAAATGATCAATTTTGTCATGTTAGTTAGATAATTATGTATTATAGTTTAAAAGTATTTAATGTGACGGTATCTTAACAAACACTTCTTTATGGACAATATTTTTTTGTGTATGTTTCCTCCTAATTCTTTGGTTGTTCTGCCTTAACCAAATCTCTTGTTGTCGATCTTGATATCCCTCTTGAAAGTGCAACATACAGTTGTTTGTGCAAGAAAACATAATGCGAAAAATATAATCTAATATTTAGGATGTTTGTCTTTTTGCTTTATTTGTTATATTTGCAAAACATAAATATACTAAAAATTATTTTCACTCAATAATTTTTAGGATGTTGAAGACACCATGTCATGGCCTGAGGATCTCTCAATAGTTGCACATCATTATTCAAAGGCGTCATGGTTCAGAGGCACCATCCTCATAGCCCAAGAACGTCATTTCATAGCCTGCGAATCTCCTATCTCACAATTCATGGCCTATGACATCATGGTCTAAGGACGTCATCCGCACTGTCCAAAGGCAATATTTCATGGTCCAAAGGGAATTTGCATCATCTATATACTCGCATGCATTGTGTTTTAAGTTTTGCAGGTAATCTAGGAGGTAACCGTTCTTCAAATAGGAGCAGCCTTCGCTCCGGTTTCCGCTCATGCCATTTTCACTTTTCCATTATAACGGATTCCCATTAATTACCAACCTTACTCTGTGATATCCAGATGTCTGCCCTACAATCCCTTCGTTACACTCCAGACCCATAATCATAACTCTATCCGACATCACACTTCGCAAAAGGACATTTTCCATCAGCTTCATTTATCGTTGGGTCCAGAATTACACATGGCCTGATTCATATAAAACCAGGGATATGTAGGCAACTCGGAGACCAGGGTTCGGCCGCTATTTTTTCAAAAAACACTCATTCGGTCAAAATCGATCATCATTTCTTTACCTGAAAACTCTTTCATCATTCCCGGGTAAAGAGGGGCAGCTGTTGATACCCAATTTTTACCTCATATATTTTAAATATGCATAAACACTTTCAAAATATTGTGCATGCATTTACAAACATGCACAAGTGTTTTACAATTTTTTCTACAATTTTCAAGGCCCTAAATCCATCTACTTCTGCATTTTTTAATTACATAAATGTTCAAAACTATCCCTCATATTATTTTGTGATGATTTAATCAGCTAAATTCATCATTTATGTTCATAAAAGGGTGTTCAAATATTTTAATTGTATTTTTTAATTACATTTGCATCTTTAAAACTATAATTCCATATTTTGCAAAAATAGCCCCTACATATGCATAATTACATTATCTATACAGAAAATGACCTTCTATATTTTTATAATATTGAATAAGTATTTTAAATCACTTTCATGCTTGAAAATCATTTTTATCCTTTAATTAGCTATTTATAAAATTATTTTATTTAGTAAAATGGGTATTTAACAAATAGCCCCTAATCTACACCCAAAATCGGATCCCCCCCCCCCCCAATCCAATTTAATTAACCCAAGCCCAATTTAAAACAACCCTAACCCAATTAAAATCCTACCCAACCTAGACCCCTTCTCATCCTGGCTATTGATCTCTGAGATCAACGACCCCTATTCCTTCTTACCATTTTTAACCAAAAGGACCCCCCTAACCTAACTCATTTGTTACACTCCGCTGCCCTTGAATCCCTCAACCCCTCCACTTCTCTCTCAATCACCCCCTAACGCTAATCGCCTTCACCAGCAAAAAACTCCCGTCTATGGAGTTTCTGTATATTTTCCGATCATTACCAGCCTACTATGCCTCCTAGTTGTTTGATTACATGGATCCTTGAGAAAATCTCATGGAGATCCAACCTGTTCTTGCCTGAAACTTGTTTACTGGCCTGTATAGGGCCATTCTCGTTAGTGAGTACTGATCTCCTCCTATTTTTAGTTCGAATCTTTGGTTTCTGACCGAGTTTTCTTCATCTCTACTATTTTTGAAAACCCTAGTTCCATGACCACTGGGTCTGTTCAGATCCTCGTAGATCTGAAGTGTTCTGAGTTCTATTTGGTACTTTTTCCTCAAAAATCTTTTGTTTTGCTAATCTTAGTGTGTGAATTTCACAACACGCACGACCACAGGACCGAAGATTGCCACCAGCTTCAAGAAGAAGTAGCCAGACTACTCAATAAAGGTCACCTCCGAGAATTCCTAAGCGACGGGGCCAAAAATCAGTTCCGGGAAAGAGAGGCGGACAAGAAGAACGAAACAAATGAGCCACAACATGTCATCCACATGATCTTGGGAGGCATCGATGAACCACAGGAACCCACGATCAGAAAAACAAAAATATCCATCACCAGAGAAAAGCGAACTCAGGGTTACATACCCGAGGATGCCCTCACATTCAGCGACGAGGAAATCGAGACCTTGTCTCAACCTCACAACGACGCACTGGTAATCTCTTTCCTT